ACTGTGTTAACCGTTTCCATATTTGTCCATAGCGTTATTGGGTCAAAAAAACGAGTTGACCGATCCGACGTGGCGTGTGACGTGGTACGCCACGTCGGATCGGTCAACTCGCTTTTTTGACCAAATAACGCTATGGACGAATATGGAACCGTTTAACAAGTTTAGGATTTAACGTGTTCAATTTTTCAAGTTTGGGAATTAATAGACACCTCTACAAGTTTAGGAATTAATATTACTCCAAAATACAAGTTCAGGAATTTTTAGGGTTTTTTTCCTAATAAATATTAAGTGTTGAAAACCACGATTATCTATTTATCTACAGCGACTAAAAAAGAAAATAGGTTTTCTTTACTTATATTAATGTCACGTGACGTGCAATGGATGAAAATAATTTGAAATTTGATGGTTATATTATGTGTATCCTCTCTCACATTTTGCATAGCAGACTAGCTGTTGCAAGTAGGGTGTCAAAACGAATCCGTCTCGTGAGTTGGTTCGAGGTTCGCCAGAAAACGAGCGATATAAACTGTGATTTTTTTAGTTCATTAAAAAACGAATCTAACGAGCCTGACTCATTAAACACGTGTTCAATGAGTCTGGTTCGGCGAACTGATGAGTTGCTCAACAAGCTGATTTTTTTAAAATAAATTAAATTTCTATAAAAAAACTCTAATATAATTTTATATTATTTTTTTCATATCATTCATATGATATTATAAATATCCTAATTATTTTGATGGTGATAATTAAAAATATTAAATGATATTGAAGTTTTATTAATTTTTATGTATTTATTTAAATTTTTAGTTAAATTTAGAATAAATATAAATAAAAAATATTATATATATCTGGTTCAACGAGCCGACTCGTTCAGATCGAAAAACTGGCGAACGATTTAAGCCGAAGTTTTTCTGACTCGTTAGAAAACAAGTCTAACGAACTGAACCCAAAACGATCTGAACCAAACGAATTGAGCCCAAAACGATCCGAGTTTGTTCGTTTGACACCTCTGGTTGCTAGTTGTGAATTGGTCCAGAGGGTCCATGAAAGTGGGCTACAGTCGGTGCAATTATTATTATTATTGTTATTATCATTATTATTATTATTATTGTTGTTGTTATGTTTTTGTAATAACATAAGTAGTGTAATTTTTTTGGACTTCAATGCGGAATTCCTAAGTGATCCATTCATTCACTTTGTTTTATTTCAATTTGTTGAAATAAATTAATAATATAATGTAATATTTGGATGGGGCCTTTGACCCAATTCAAGTTTCTTATGGGCTTTTCTCCTCCTCCTCCCTCTTTTAATTAAGACTAAAAGCCTAATAGTTAATTATATGATAAAACATTATTGGGCCATAATCATAATTTTGTACGCTCAGTTATGATTCATTATCGTTTTAAAAAGTGTTCATTCTCTGAACGGAGTTTCATTTTCTTGTTATTTCTATATTTGCTTCCTTTTCGGCTGATTTGGTTTTTTAAAAAAGATTAATATCCTATCGGTTTTTAAACTAGATTCAATTCATATACAATCATATAATATTATTTGATCCGGTTTGATTAGTTTTTTCATATACAAACGGAAATACATTTCAAAACGCCATTTAATGAATTAATGTCATATATCCGCCATCACTAAAAGCATCATTTTAACGAATTATTCATTCTTATGGTGTTATTGCCCAAAAAATAGGGAAAAAAATGACTCGTGTGGTTTTATTTAATAATATGGAGCTTTTTCGTTGAAGTGGTCACAAAATCTTCTGACTCGTGATTTCATAACCCACTATATATTTGTCGTATATACGGATCCACGTTCCACATTCTAAGAAATATTTACCACTGTATTTGTATTTAAACATCACGGTCAATGTTTTGAGTTCCTTAACCTTATTGAATCCATCATTAGTTTATATAACTCTACCATGGCATGGTATAATCACTTGTGTTTGTGGGATTGGTTAGAAGTATATCAAGTTGTTTTTTTAAGTATTTTATTAGAGAAAAATCCCATGGATATATATGTTGTTGCAACTTAATTATAAATAGTTTAACCCTACTACATGGACCATATTACGTAATTTATTAAAAAAAAAAGAGTAATCGGGTTTTGATCCTATTTTATAATATTCCTTAAGCCAGAAAAGACAAATCTGACAGACAACTTGCTGTCTCCACCATCTGACAAAAAGCAAAACCCTAAAAAAACATGAAACACATAAAAAAAAAAACAGTACTGTTATCGGTTTTCTTTCTACGGAGTGGTAAGCAAACTTCGAATGAAGGCTGCTTGGGCTGAATCCGCAGATTCAAGAAGTTGAGTTAGTCGTTCACTCAGGTCATCCACTTCCTTGTGCAGGTTCCTTATATAGCTGCACGTCTCTTGCAACGCCCTCGACGCTGAAACCTATACACACACACACACACACACTGACACGTTAAGATATATATACGAATGATCTATTAGAGAAATTGGGACGTCTGATGATTAAACAGTTTGGACATCGTACGTAAATCTGGTTTGTGATCGATGGATGATAAGTACCTTGTCGGAGGGCCTTCTGTTACCAAGTTCCGGGACGATGCGATGGAGCTGGACGACGATATCGTTGATTTGGTCGTCGGTGATCATGGAACCTCCCGTTTGTCTTGAACGTGATCTTCGGCTAGACATAGTTGGTATATATGTGTATATATGTTTATATATAACTTTGATAAATAGCAAAGCTATAAATTAATATATATATATATATATATATGTATATATGTATAAGTACACGAGCTATATGAGTGTGAACATATCTATGTGTGCGCGTGTGTGTGAAGAGTGAGAGTGAATCTGAATGGTTTCAGGCTTTCTGTTTATATAGACGAGAATCTTTTAGCTTCCCGTGGAACAATATAATATTTACATTTTATATGCATTATATATATATATATATAATTACTATATTCAAAGTGTATATTATGGTGTCCATGTATTCTAAACCTCGATTTTAGCTTCTCGGGTGTTATTATGGACGATAACCCAAGAATCCCAAAACCATTTCAAGATTTTTCTAACATCTATTTTTTCACATTACATAGATGGTGATTAGAATAATACTTATGTACGATCATAGCTAATGATTAAGGGTTTTATAGAAATAGTGAATCTAATCAATTGTAGGTTTTGATGCCTTTTCATGTTCATCATCATTTATTACGGAATTTCCATCTTTATTTTTTCTTCATTTAATTTCGAACAGTACTTTTCCGTTAAAAAAACGATAATTTCCAACAGTATTTCTATAAATAAATTTCATCAACCAGGGTACCATCTGTTATTATATTATCTTTATATATGCTGCGTATATACGTGTACAGCCACTTCACCGTATGATATGATAAATTGATAATGATACGTGTATGTATATAGACAAATGAATAATCTAATTGATTATATTTTATAATCTGTTTTGGACACAAGTGGAATCCTGCAACTGGACTTGGTTGTTTGCTACTGTACTAACGTATTTCGTTTTTGGTTTCTCTTCCCCCTTTTTTTCTGTTTTTATTTTATTATCATAACATCAATCAGTTGATTAATTGCAATCGACGTTAGTTTATTATAATTTCATTTAGATCCGTTTAATTAATGATTTTTTAAATCAAAATTTGATAGAACCGACCAAAATAAAAAACAAAATTTAATTAATAGTATTAACGAAAAATTAGGATGGTTAGGTAGGTAACCATAATATTATTTCGTCTTAAATATTACGTGTCCCCTGAAATTCCGTTATTCATTTATGATTGACAAAGAAAATATTGAGAATTATAACCACGATTTGTTAGAAATTTGACCATTGTATTATTCTCGATTTTTAAAATTTTAAATTGAAAATATTTGTCAAACAAAATTTGATAGTTCATAAAAAATTTTAAATTAAAAAACAACATTTATTCAAATGTTTGTTATTATATTGCATTCTGAATTTCGGAAAACAATAGAAAAAATATAATATTTTTTGACACTCGGCACGTGGCTTATTGCGATCAACATCAACCAATGTATGAATACAATAATAACGTTATAGCATATTGCTGGATATATATCGATACAATTTAACTATCGAAATTAACAAAGGAGATATATAATCTAATTAATCAAAATATTGCTGACGTGTTGGTCAGCTTGGTTCTCGGGGCACATGACTTCAGTGGAATATACAGCGAACAACTTGCTCAACACCACAAGGATCCTCATTTCCTTTTCATTTTATTTCGTGTAAAATCCCTAAAAAACCTCCAACTTGCAAAAATATATACAAATAAACCTTCAACTTGAAAAACTGTCATTCAATCCCCGAACTTGTAACTTGTCACTAAATAAAACCTCGAACTTGCAAATTATTGCTCTAATAAACCTTTGACCGGTTTGACCACAATTTCAGGCGATCAAAAATCCACGTATTAACGGATTGTTGATGTCACCTTATACACGTTATCAATTTTAATTTAAAAAAAATGACATCAGCAATCCGTCAATACGTGGATTTCCGATCGTTTGAAATTATGGTCAAACCGGTCAAAGGTTTATTAGAACAATAATTTACAAGTTCGAGGTTTTATTCAGTGACAAGTTACAAGTTCGGAGATTGAATGACAGTTTTTCAATTTAAAGGTTTATTTGTATATATTTTTGCAAGTTGGAGGTTTTTGAGGGATTTTACCCTTTTATTTCATATAGTTTATCTTTTATTTTATTTCATCGAATATATTTTTTATATAGGCTATTCGATATAGTTACTAGTTTTTTTTTGTTATAAGTGTGATTCTTGTATTAACCAAAACCTAAGTTACAAAAGACAGTCTTAGCTGATTACAAAACGTGATTCTCGACTGAATATTATTGACACCCCATAATCAAAAGATTAAAAGGAACAATTGGAATATAAGCTAGTTCTAGGAACAATAGGAACAACGCGAAGGATATTGCTGTGAGCTTGTCAGCGTGTATCAATCATGTAGCATGATATTACTGCAGATTTGAGTATCGTTATACTAGTTAGTCATTTGAATATATATATATATATATAAGGGTGGATACGGATCGGATATTCGGGATATCTGATTTTAAAAATTATATTATCTGGATTTGGATTCAGATTGATGGATAGTGAAAAATATGGATTTAGATTTGAATTTGAAAATTACGAGTACCCTAAAATCGGGTGTCCGTGAACCGAGTATCCCACGGATCGATACCCTATTTTTGAGTATTTATCCCCAACCCTAATATATATATATAATACAAGACTTCTGGATATCAAATATATGAGAGAGAACTCCTTAATTATAAATATTATTAATAGATATAAAAAGGTTGATAAAATAGGATAGAGATAAACATTTTTATTGTATTTTGGAATTAATGTGTAAAATGTAGAAGACTAATTAATTAATTCATTAATCTGATTTTATTTTATAGAAGTAAGAGAGAGATCTTAGATGATCTTCTAACCATATGGCTACGGTCTAGACTATTAAGCTTTATGATATAGCACAAGATGAAGATGGTTTAATTATTGAAAATGTACGAAACATGTTATTTTAATACGCATATATACGTGCATGTGTACTCGAACATGTGCATTCAAAGACTCCTCTAAGTCGGTGCGATTTGTTTACTTTAATTTCCTGTATAACGACCTGATATTTTTTTTTTTTGACAAATTCCAGACAGAATATATATATATATATATATATATATATATATATATATATATATAGATAGCTCAAAATATTAAAATTTTGAATAGCTAAAATTTAAAAGACGATCGCATGATATTTAATTATGGTACGGGTTTTGTAAAATTTGGCATCCTAACCTACAGCTATTTTTTTTAGTTTTCCTATATATGGAAATTATGACTTTTTCCCTTCTTTACAGTGATTTAATATATATATATACACACACATATATACATATATATAGTTGAAATTTTTATTCAGTTATATCAGTATACCAAACCAACAAATCACTAACTGAAAGTCTGAAACCTTTTATACACTGAAGATATCGATTGCAGCATGTTTCACTGTCCAAAATATAGGTTCGGTTTGATGATGATAACAGTTAATTGCCGTTAATTAAGAATCGGTATATGTTTCAAACCGTTTATATGGTCGATGTGTATTGAGTTCTAATAAAAGACCCAATATATATATATATATATATATATAATTATATATATATATATAGGTTTTTTTATACGTTACAAATAGAAGTATATAACGTTTTGTGAAAGGAATATCAAAATTAAGCAAATCTCTCTTGTAACAATTGTGTGTGGGTGTTATTGTTAATAGAGATGAGCCCTTTGAAATCACCAATTTATTTAGCTCCATGGGCTTTTGGATGGGCCAGTACGAGAAGAGATTACGGATTAATATTAAGATCCGCTATAAGGCCCATTTGCCCAGTTAGCTCGAAATTCTCAACTCACCGAGTCAGCGACTCAGTGCCGTGTTCAGTGAAAGATGACCGAATTCCCTCCACCAGACAAAAGAAAAGTAGAATCATTCACAGTTCAGCAGGTCGAGGTTTCAATAGTAATGTCTACCCGCGAGAGTGTCGGGGAAAGAAGGCGATGGACATATGGAGGTTTTTCATATCTTCTCCCGACAAAGGTTAAGCTTTGGGTTCTTCTTCTTCATCATCCTCTCCGAGAGACTGGCTTAGATAATCTTGAGCTTCTTCAAGCGCGGATTCCTTTGCATCCGTTGCATACAATATCTTCTTCACTGCTTCTACTATCTACACAATGGTTTCGGCCATAAAAAGATTAGATTCACACGTGAAAAATCTTCACGAGGATTCGATTAAGGATGGTATGATTCCATTTCAATGGCCAGCCTGCTACGGGTTAGAAACAGATGAAACCCTTCAGGGAGAAGTCCGAGGCCTTACAGGGAGATGTTCGATTTCAGGAGTCTGGCAGAGTATCTCGATATCCCGGAGCTTGGAGAAGTAGAAGTCTCTTTCTTTCTCCAAGAGATCCACAGAGAGCTTCATTTCTGTAAGCTGTTTTCACCAACCCAAGTTTTCGGTTTTTTTGTGAGAACCTGACTTTCTAAGACATTAGATTTTAGAAAGGTCTTAGCTTATACCTCCTTTGACAAAGCCTGAACCTCGGCCGAGGAGTTGCTCCCACCCGCAACCGTATGCTTGTTGGTACCTTACGAATTTGGCCGTTAAGAAATCTGCAACGGAGATTGAATAGAAACAAAGAAAAACGTTTTATGATCAGTCGGGTACCTGGAATATGCATGTTGTTTGTTTGAAGCGACTTTGATGTCTTGGTAGAACACTTAAAGGTCCTATCTTTTCCGCCTTTTGTTCTCCGTTCCACCGGATTATAGTTCCTGCCAGCCCCCCCGGAAAAAAGGAAAAAAAATGCAATGTGATAGGAAAACACTTCCTACGAGTTTTACAAGGGAGGAGAAGGAGTGAACGAAACATACTCATTCATGATTCCGCCGTTTATAGAATCGCAGTAACGTTTCAGCCATTGCAGAAACTCCAAGTTGTCCAGTGGCCGGCCTTTGACAAGCCTGTTCACTTCAATGTGCTGAGGAATTTCCCAGTAGATAAAAGATTCAATTGCTACTTTTTAAAACGAAAGAGCTTTAAGGCAAACCACACTGATGAATTTACCTTTTCAATTTTCAATTTGTTGAACACATCTTGCAGGACCTTGTAGTTTTGTATCATCTCATACTCAGTTTTGGCATCAAAATTAACCTGCAGTGGAAAAACTTTTCATAATGTTAAAGCCAAACCTGAATATGAAACAGAAGGGGAATTAATGAAATAAATAAAATAAATAAAAGACCTTGTGCATTGGCACGACTCCTGGAAAGGTCATGTCCATCATCTGGCATTGCACAGCACCAGACGCAGCCTAGCACCAGACCAGAGAAGAGGAACATGGATCATAGAGGACTCAAAATCAGACGCACACGAAAATGCCGAAACTTGAAGGGGCGATTCGCAAACCCACGAGTTATACTGAAACTTCAAGACAATGGACACAGACGCGGATAATACAGAACCAGGTTTCTTCAGAATCGTGTTAAAGTTATCAAACTGGTTTCATCTCGACCAAATCTGATATCATCTTCCAGTTCCAACAGATAAATTGGTTACAATTCCTAAAAGAACCAAACTTGCACGAGACAGAACTAACACTTAATCCAAGCATAAAGCATTGAAACAACTCAACACAAAAAGAAAAACCTCGGATGCCCTCGACCATGGGAGATAATTTCCACTCTTCCGTACACAATAATGGTTTGGGTGAGACAACCACCGACAACTACAAACGCAAATTTTACAACTTGTGAACTATTTTTTTTCCCCTCAATACCCAGCGAATGCACCAGATCAACACCGGCACCACCACCAATCCAATGCACGTAATCAAGGGTACCCTCCACCGAGATTATAGATACGAAACCCCAGGAAAGAAACTCAAATGCATCGGTAAATCATCATGAAACGAATTGGCATGCACCCATTTTGGAAGTCAGCAAGCAAGCAAGCCCACATGCATAAACACATATCTATATGTATACCTCTTCGACGCGGGAGAGATTCAGCTGAAGCCGGTTGTTAATCCAGGAGAGAATCTCGTTTCGCCCGACGAAGTAAGCACTGTCCATTATCCCAATGTTCGTCGCCATTTCGTCTTCTCTCCGACCAGTAAAAAACGGAAGAAACCCCTATTGTTTCTTGAAACCCAGATGAAATTAGGGGAGGAGAGACAATGGGTATATATCGAGAAGGGAAAATCAAAATGCTACGCTAATTTTTTTTTTTTCCTCTAAATTTTGATTTGATCCGTTTTGGTTTTGCTTGTTAGGAAGAGAAACTGAAGCAGAGAAAAGGACGGGGAGGGGAGGGAGAGAGAGAGAGAGACGGAAAAGTGAAAAGCAGAGAAAGGCTGGCAGCGGCAACGGCAAATGTGGCAATTTTAATTTTATTAATTTACAATATCTCCTTTATTAATTAATTAATCTATTCATTTGGGAATTCACACAAGTATTAAAGATCACATATTTAAATGAAAATATTTAGAAATTCCTCGCAGCATGAAGCCATGAACAATCGTAGATAGTGGATGCCTTATATAGCCTTTGCAGTACATATAGATACATGTAACGTTTATAATATAGGTTCCATATTTTTGTATACACTAGGATCGAAATATATTTTAAATAAATATATAGTAATCAACACTTATGATGTATAACATGTGAATGAATTAGCGTAAACGATTAACGATATGAAGCATTAATAATTACTCATGTATTTAATATTACTTTTAAGCGAAATTACCTTTCAACTTACATTTTAACAATGCACAATTTTATTATGTGATTTTCATATTGCAAACAACATCTAAACGTATGCTTTTTTAATTTAGTAATTTTATGATGAAAAGCAATTGCAAAGATATTTTGGGGATGTGCGCAGCGTTATGATGGTAAGAATAATTTATGAATTTATATAGTGGGACAACCTTTTGAAATAAAAGAATTAGGTTGATAAAATAAATGTCATTTAAACTAAAATAGAAATCAAATAATTAATGTGCCATCTACTCGGCATTTGGAGAAACCGTTCAGATTCGAGATGAAAATATATTGGTTCGGTTTTTTCGATTTTATAAAAATAGGTACCAATCGGTTTTTATATTATGTTCGGTTCGATTTGATTCGGTTTCGGTATCGGTTCGTTTTGGTTCCGGTTTTTATTAAAAAAAAGATAGATTTTTTTTAAAAAATTTCAGTTTTTTAGGATTTTTTAAAATTCGGCTCGGTTCCAAGAAATTCGATTCTCTACAAATAATACTGTTCGTAAATTTAGAACGATTCGGATAAGAAAAATATTATTTTTTCGGTTCGGTTCTGAAAAACCAAACTGAAATGCCCAGCCCTGATACCATCCAACTAACAAGCAGTGGTAAGTCCTTTGGACACACACCAATGAATTATTGAGTTATAGAATCTTAAATTATATTTCAATGTTTGGAATTCAAACTTAACAAAATGGACTGACTGCCTATTTTGTAATAAGTGAAAATTATATATATATATATATATAAAATTAAAATCGAATTAATTACAAAAAGGAAAATTGGTTTTAATGGAAATCAATGATACGCTGTTTTATCGGGCCAAGTATGTGGGGGATGAAACGACATATTTGTTTATATAAACTCAAAGTGGATAGATAGTCAATGAAAATAATTTTTATACTTTTGTGGGTGAGCGGAGGATAAAGATTTATACCTTGTTTTAGTTTAGAGATGTCAATTGCTTAAATTCAACCCATTTGGGTCCAAAAAAAAAATGGGTTGGATTGAATCGATCTAATAATAATATGTTGGGTTGAATTGACCTATATATTAAATCTATTTAAATCCACTTAACTCATTTACGTATTTATACACTATTCATATACATGTATAGTTTATAAATATGTATATACGTATATAAACTAGGAGTGAATGTTTCATTACTTGTTTCTATAAGGCATTGCACAGCACCAGACGCAGCCTAGCACCAGACCAGAGAAGAGGAACATGGATCATAGAGGACTCAAAATCAGACGCACACGAAAATGCCGAAACTTGAGTAATTCTCCAGATCATACAGAAGTGCTTCTTCATCCTTTCCCACTTGTAGAATACTTTTAATACCCTGAAATAAAAAAAAATGTCACTTTTGATCCGTGTGACCCATATGACTCTCGCATGATATTTAATTATGGTACGGGTTTTGTAAAATTTGGCATCCTAACCTACAGCTATTTTTTTTAGTTTTCCTATATATGGAAATTATGACTTTTTCCCTTCTTTACAGTGATTTAATATATATATATACACACACATATATACATATATATAGTTGAAATTTTTATTCAGTTATATCAGTATACCAAACCAACAAATCACTAACTGAAAGTCTGAAACCTTTTATACACTGAAGATATCGATTGCAGCATGTTTCACTGTCCAAAATATAGGTTCGGTTTGATGATGATAACAGTTAATTGCCGTTAATTAAGAATCGGTATATGTTTCAAACCGTTTATATGGTCGATGTGTATTGAGTTCTAATAAAAGACCCAATATATATATATATATATATATATAATTATATATATATATATAGGTTTTTTTATACGTTACAAATAGAAGTATATAACGTTTTGTGAAAGGAATATCAAAATTAAGCAAATCTCTCTTGTAACAATTGTGTGTGGGTGTTATTGTTAATAGAGATGAGCCCTTTGAAATCACCAATTTATTTAGCTCCATGGGCTTTTGGATGGGCCAGTACGAGAAGAGATTACGGATTAATATTAAGATCCGCTATAAGGCCCATTTGCCCAGTTAGCTCGAAATTCTCAACTCACCGAGTCAGCGACTCAGTGCCGTGTTCAGTGAAAGATGACCGAATTCCCTCCACCAGACAAAAGAAAAGTAGAATCATTCACAGTTCAGCGGGTCGAGGTTTCAATAGTAATGTCTACCCGCGAGAGTGTCGGGGAAAGAAGGCGATGGACATATGGAGGTTTTTCATATCTTCTCCCGACAAAGGTTAAGCTTTGGGTTCTTCTTCTTCATCATCCTCTCCGAGAGACTGGCTTAGATAATCTTGAGCTTCTTCAAGCGCGGATTCCTTTGCATCCGTTGCATACAATATCTTCTTCACTGCTTCTACTATCTACACAATGGTTTCGGCCATAAAAAGATTAGATTCACACGTGAAAAATCTTCACGAGGATTCGATTAAGGATGGTATGATTCCATTTCAATGGCCAGCCTGCTACGGGTTAGAAACAGATGAAACCCTTCAGGGAGAAGTCCGAGGCCTTACAGGGAGATGTTCGATTTCAGGAGTCTGGCAGAGTATCTCGATATCCCGGAGCTTGGAGAAGTAGAAGTCTCTTTCTTTCTCCAAGAGATCCACAGAGAGCTTCATTTCTGTAAGCTGTTTTCACCAACCCAAGTTTTCGGTTTTTTTGTGAGAACCTGACTTTCTAAGACATTAGATTTTAGAAAGGTCTTAGCTTATACCTCCTTTGACAAAGCCTGAACCTCGGCCGAGGAGTTGCTCCCACCCGCAACCGTATGCTTGTTGGTACCTTACGAATTTGGCCGTTAAGAAATCTGCAACGGAGATTGAATAGAAACAAAGAAAAACGTTTTATGATCAGTCGGGTACCTGGAATATGCATGTTGTTTGTTTGAAGCGACTTTGATGTCTTGGTAGAACACTTAAAGGTCCTATCTTTTCCGCCTTTTGTTCTCCGTTCCACCGGATTATAGTTCCTGCCAGCCCCCCCGGAAAAAAGGAAAAAAAATGCAATGTGATAGGAAAACACTTCCTACGAGTTTTACAAGGGAGGAGAAGGAGTGAACGAAACATACTCATTCATGATTCCGCCGTTTATAGAATCGCAGTAACGTTTCAGCCATTGCAGAAACTCCAAGTTGTCCAGTGGCCGGCCTTTGACAAGCCTGTTCACTTCAATGTGCTGAGGAATTTCCCAGTAGATAAAAGATTCAATTGCTACTTTTTAAAACGAAAGAGCTTTAAGGCAAACCACACTGATGAATTTACCTTTTCAATTTTCAATTTGTTGAACACATCTTGCAGGACCTTGTAGTTTTGTATCATCTCATACTCAGTTTTGGCATCAAAATTAACCTGCAGTGGAAAAACTTTTCATAATGTTAAAGCCAAACCTGAATATGAAACAGAAGGGGAATTAATGAAATAAATAAAATAAATAAAAGACCTTGTGCATTGGCACGACTCCTGGAAAGGTCATGTCCATCATCTGGCATTGCACAGCACCAGACGCAGCCTAGCACCAGACCAGAGAAGAGGAACATGGATCATAGAGGACTCAAAATCAGACGCACACGAAAATGCCGAAACTTGAAGGGGCGATTCGCAAACCCACGAGTTATACTGAAACTTCAAGACAATGGACACAGACGCGGATAATACAGAACCAGGTTTCTTCAGAATCGTGTTAAAGTTATCAAACTGGTTTCATCTCGACCAAATCTGATATCATCTTCCAGTTCCAACAGATAAATTGGTTACAATTCCTAAAAGAACCAAACTTGCACGAGACAGAACTAACACTTAATCCAAGCATAAAGCATTGAAACAACTCAACACAAAAAGAAAAACCTCGGATGCCCTCGACCATGGGAGATAATTTCCACTCTTCCGTACACAATAATGGTTTGGGTGAGACAACCACCGACAACTACAAACGCAAATTTTACAACTTGTGAACTATTTTTTTTCCCCTCAATACCCAGCGAATGCACCAGATCAACACCGGCACCACCACCAATCCAATGCACGTAATCAAGGGTACCCTCCACCGAGATTATAGATACGAAACCCCAGGAAAGAAACTCAAATGCATCGGTAAATCATCATGAAACGAATTGGCATGCACCCATTTTGGAAGTCAGCAAGCAAGCAAGCCCACATGCATAAACACATATCTATATGTATACCTCTTCGACGCGGGAGAGATTCAGCTGAAGCCGGTTGTTAATCCAGGAGAGAATCTCGTTTCGCCCGACGAAGTAAGCACTGTCCATTATCCCAATGTTCGTCGCCATTTCGTCTTCTCTCCGACCAGTAAAAAACGGAAGAAACCCCTATTGTTTCTTGAAACCCAGATGAAATTAGGGGAGGAGAGACAATGGGTATATATCGAGAAGGGAAAATCAAAATGCTACGCTAATTTTTTTTTTTTCCTCTAAATTTTGATTTGATCCGTTTTGGTTTTGCTTGTTAGGAAGAGAAACTGAAGCAGAGAAAAGGACGGGGAGGGGAGGGAGAGAGAGAGAGAGACGGAAAAGTGAAAAGCAGAGAAAGGCTGGCAGCGGCAACGGCAAATGTGGCAATTTTAATTTTATTAATTTACAATATCTCCTTTATTAATTAATTAATCTATTCATTTGGGAATTCACACAAGTATTAAAGATCACATATTTAAATGAAAATATTTAGAAATTCCTCGCAGCATGAAGCCATGAACAATCGTAGATAGTGGATGCCTTATATAGCCTTTGCAGTACATATAGATACATGTAACGTTTATAATATAGGTTCCATATTTTTGTATACACTAGGATCGAAATATATTTTAAATAAATATATAGTAATCAACACTTATGATGTATAACATGTGAATGAATTAGCGTAAACGATTAACGATATGAAGCATTAATAATTACTCATGTATTTAATATTACTTTTAAGCGAAATTACCTTTCAACTTACATTTTAACAATGCACAATTTTATTATGTGATTTTCATATTGCAAACAACATCTAAACGTATGCTTTTTTAATTTAGTAATTTTATGATGAAAAGCAATTGCAAAGATATTTTGGGGATGTGCGCAGCGTTATGATGGTAAGAATAATTTATGAATTTATATAGTGGGACAACCTTTTGAAATAAAAGAATTAGGTTGATAAAATAAATGTCATTTAAACTAAAATAGAAATCAAATAATTAATGTGCCATCTACTCGGCATTTGGAGAAACCGTTCAGATTCGAGATGAAAATATATTGGTTCGGTTTTTTCGATTTTATAAAAATAGGTACCAATCGGTTTTTATATTATGTTCGGTTCGATTTGATTCGGTTTCGGTATCGGTTCGTTTTGGTTCCGGTTTTTATTAAAAAAAAGATAGATTTTTTTTAAAAAATTTCAGTTTTTTAGGATTTTTTAAAATTCGGCTCGGTTCCAAGAAATTCGATTCTCTACAAATAATACTGTTCGTAAATTTAGAACGATTCGGATAAGAAAAATATTATTTTTTCGGTTCGGTTCTGAAAAACCAAACTGAAATGCCCAGCCCTGATACCATCCAACTAACAAGCAGTGGTAAGTCCTTTGGACACACACCAATGAATTATTGAGTTATAGAATCTTAAATTATATTTCAATGTTTGGAATTCAAACTTAACAAAATGGACTGACTGCCTATTTTGTAATAAGTGAAAATTATATATATATATATATATAAAATTAAAATCGAATTAATTACAAAAAGGAAAATTGGTTTTAATGGAAATCAATGATACGCTGTTTTATCGGGCCAAGTATGTGGGGGATGAAACGACATATTTGTTTATATAAACTCAAAGTGGATAGATAGTCAATGAAAATAATTTTTATACTTTTGTGGGTGAGCGGAGGATAAAGATTTATACCTTGTTTTAGTTTAGAGATGTCAATTGCTTAAATTCAACCCATTTGGGTCCAAAAAAAAAATGGGTTGGATTGAATCGATCTAATAATAATATGTTGGGTTGAATTGACCTATATATTAAATCTATTTAAATCCACTTAACTCATTTACGTATTTATACACTATTCATATACATGTATAGTTTATAAATATGTATATACGTATATAAACTAGGAGTGAATGTTTCATTACTTGTTTCTATAAAAAATTATATCAATCAATTATTATATTATAATCAATTCGGTTCAGTTTCGGTGTTTATTAAAAGACATATATTTTTTAAGAAAGTTCCAATTTTTTTCGCATTTCTAAAAATTGCGGTTCCATTTCGGTGCTTATTAAAAAATATATATTTTCTTAAGATTTTTTTTTTAGTTTTTAAAAATTTCGTTCCGTTTCAGTTCTTTAGAAACATTAATGTTAGATTTTTAAACGATTCGATTCGAAAATGATATCTAATTTTTCGATATAATTTGATTCAAAAATAATATCGAGTTTTTCTGCTCGGTTCAAAAACGATACTTCGAAAACTATATACAGTTTTTTGGTACAATTCGATTCGAAAACAATACCAATTTTTTTGTTAGATTCTTAAATGGTATCAAATTTTTCAGTTTGGTTCGGTGCTGAATTTCTGAGTTCAATTTGATCTGGAAAGGATATTGAATTTTTCGGTTTTGATTCAGAAATAATATTGATTTTTTTATTCGATTCTAAAACTGTACCGAATATATATATAATTTACATTATGTACAGAGCTAGTTCACGTGTCTTGTAATTGCCAATTGTATTACCTTGAAGTCACACATTTGATCTTAACCTAAAAAGATAAAGATATTGATTTAGCATTCAATCAAAGTCTAAAGTTATTTGTTGCTTTCTTGTGTCTTTTTATTTTCTAAGATAACAACATTAAATAAACTTTCGTTTAGAAAATATTTGTGCAGTTAAAACGTATACATGCAATATGCATTATTCGGTAGAACATTTATAAAAATACAAAATTCATTTAAAAACTGTTTGGATTCGAACGTGGGGGCTCGGACATTTTCCACAAGTCAGAAACTTTGGGTTTAGAAAACCAAAGTCTGAAACTTTGAAACAACAATGTCGTGTTTTGACTTTCTATTCACAAATCCATCATCATCTCCTGCATTCCCCCAAAATCAAACCTAATTCGAGATCCGGTAGCAATGGAGTCCATCAACACCACCTTCAAGGGCTACGGCAAAATCACCGACCATGAAAACCTAACCCATCCTCAGATTCCCAATTCTTCTCCCCGCAAAACCCTAATCATCATCGCCTCCGTCGCATCCCTCCTCCTCGTCGTCGTCTTGACCGCCGGAGTACTATCCCGTCCACCCAACCGCCTCTCCGAGTCCTCCGACTCGCTGAAGGCCATATGCTCCGTGACTCGGTACCCGGACTCGTGCCTCGCGTCCTTATCATCCGCTCTCAACCAATCGGAGCCCAACACGATCCGACGAGTTGACCCGGAATCCATCTTCAAGCTCTCGATCCGTGTCTCCGCCAAGGAGATCTCGAGCCTCGCCATGACTTTCCGGTCGATCAACGACTTACCGGAGGACGCGGCGGTCGGCGACTGCGTGAAGCTGTTAGCCGACGCGCTGAGTCAACTCAACGAGTCGG